AAACGCATTGACACATGTACACTAGGCTATAATAATATGCTTAATACATTTATAAACAAAATATAATAGGTACCTGAAGGGTTTTGTCTCTAGACCTTAAATTATTATCAATATGTCTGCGAAAGTTGAAGGCGACTCTTCTGAATGAATATGGCGATTTAACACGAGGAGCAACAAAAGGTCACGTGGACCAATGAAAATTATATTACCTAATATAGACATACAATGACGTAAATATATTAAAGCTGAATTCTATGAAAACTAAAACAAAGTAAATAGCGACTGACTATTCAGAACACTCTTATCTATGGAAAGAAGTTTGAAAAAATTGCTATTGACGAATTTGTTAAACACAGGATACAGTCGACCAATGTGGAACATTTGTTTGTAAAGGTAGTCCATTTCTAGCTTCCTCACCGGATGGATTGATGGATAATCATAAAGTGATTGAGGTGAAGTGTCCATATTCATCTAAAGTCAAATGCATTAATACAGACATTGTGCCATTTCTGAAATTTTGTGGGACAAATCAAAAGTATTTTCTTTCAGAAAATCATGACTTATTATTTACAGGACGCCAAGAGTGCATTTTCATTGTTAACACCTTTAAAGATATGAAATTCAAAACTATCAACAAGAATGACACTTTTATTCAAAGTATGGTACAGAAATTAATTTTGTTTTATAATAATCACTTTTAAAAAGCTGTGTTAGACAAATTTATTTTATTTTATTCATTTTAAATTGGCTGGAAATAGCTGTACTCAAATGAAAAATGTCAATCATTCACATTGTTCACAATGTCAAGCTTTTTTAATCAAATTTTTATATTCACATGTAACTTAACTAAAGTCCTTTCAAATAGTTTATTTAACATTTTCCAAAAATCTTTAATGATAAACCACCGTCCTTTTTGATAAATATCAGAAGTATATTTTAAACTGTAAAGTGTCATTTCTAAATTGGAAAATGTTTGTAGTAAAATGATAAGTGTAATGGATTAATGGCGCAAATTGACCTCCATACAAATCAGGTCTTACCAATTTCTATAATATATTGGTATTGGTGTGATATCATCACTGGTAGAGAAAGCCATCTAATGTCACCTTTTAATGGATTTGAACCTGCTTTTTTAAAAAAAACTCTTCACAATTTGCCAAAATTATAAACCTGTGGTATCCATACAAAGTTTAACTATAAAAACATTACCAGATATTCTATTAAGTCCCTATGCTATACAGGGTACCAAAACAAACAAGTTTGTAAAATAGCTGGTAATGACTTTATGAACTCTTAAAGTTCAACTTTGTATAGATACCAAAAGTTCTTATAACTTTAGCTTTTGTCATTTGAAGATAGTGGATAGTGACATTTGATATCTGATCCTACCTGTGGTAATATCATATGATAATCCTATATATCATGTCCGAGAACCTTGGTATGGCCAGATTTGTCAGGCTAATGATATAGTTACCAATCAATTCATTTTTCATTCAGTAAATTGAAGGGATTGTAAACTGGTATTCTTAGAATTTCTAATCTTTGAATGTGTATTTGGGACACTATTTTGTACCATTCCAATTTTCATTCAGACATTTGTGTTTTCTGTAATTCCACTTCAACTAAGCGCTGTATGATCTCATTATCGTAAAAGCTGCTAAAAATTTCTTGGGGCCTTTGCGTCGATATCTCAAAGGAAGTATGCCTGTAACCATAAAAATAAAATATGTATAAGTACAAGGTTACGCGTAAAAATGAACGAGCATTGCACAAGTATTTGTGTTCTCAGCAGCAATAATTTTCAATATACACAAGCACACCCAGTTGTAAACAAAAACATGTTAAAAAGCATTATGGAAATGGATGTCTAGAAGTATATCTGTCCATAACATGTGACCCCAATACCACTCACAGAAAGAGAGCATGAGAAAAACAATACGTTTGAGTTTTTTTGCCATTGTTTAGATATAACCATCACATCTGAAAAAGCGATGCTCAAATAAGCTCTTTAATGCATATTGTCTCATTTAGTACAGTAAAAAATCAGTAATCAACACAATGGCTATTAAGAAAATTCAACTATTTAGGAAAAATTTACCTGTTTTTTTAACTACAGCCTTTACCCAGAAGTCTAACAGGAATAACATGAAAAAAAGAAAAGAAACAAGCAGAACAGAACAAAAATGATTTCCAAACAATTCAGATTCAGGGCTTTTCCTACAGTTTTGTTTTGTCAAAATATTCCTATTCCAAAAGTAAAAAATAATTGAAATAGATGCTATAAAGTTTTTTTAAAACAATCTAAAGGTAAAAATTCTTTCTAAAAATCATAGAAAAGCCCTGTTATTATAGACACAACTGAAGAAAGAAAAGTATGCATGTTAACAGATGTATGTCTGTATTCATCTGAATGAATAGCCCATTTTCTGTGATCCTATCTTGATAGATTCTAGGCCAATATCTATATCAATGCAATACATTTTGAATTTGAGCCTATCATGATAAGGAAAAGGCATAAACTTGAGAGATAGTCAACTCTATCATAGTGAACTTTTGTCTATTTTTCCATGCATATTCAAAATATAATTTTTAGTTGCATACTTGCATGCCATTTGTCCCAGAATTTAGGTCTGATTTGAAATAAACAGAATTCCCTCCAAAACAAAATTTTAAACTGAAAATTCTTTTTGTAAAATCATATTCAAAAATTATACTTGTTAGTTAGGCCTACTTTAAAATCAGCAATAGTTGGCATTTTTATCAACCCAGGCCATAGCCATAGATAGACGAAATGGCAGTAATAATGTAAACATAGAACTGTATAGCCTACTGTCAGTAGTCTGACATACAGTTCTATGATGTAAATAAGACTCAGTCACTGAGTCAGACCGTAGCCGTACTAGTGTCAAGTGGCTTCCGAAGAATATCTAGACATATCACAATGACAAATATTTCAAACATTAAAAAGAAAACTTATCTAATAAAGCAAATGAAAACACTTGCAGGAGGGTGTAAATTCGACGAAATCTCTGCAAACTATGCTGGACGAAGTAAGCTCCCACCGCATCTCCCTTCAGTGATTTCGCCAATCCACTTCTTTCGAAGCTTTTTGTCGATTGGTGACAAATACCCTCCCCTATTTGAACATCCAGGAACACAATAACAAGTTTTAGGCATGTCGTAATCTGAGTTCTGTAGCTGTCAAACAATATTACTAAAGCGTACGGTCGACTTCCGGACCCTAGTCGGTGGCGCCATCTTCAGGGGCAGATAATCCGAGTTTGGTTCCCCATTGGGAAATAATTACAGTATGGCGGCAATAATTTTTTCTGAAGCTTTTTGTCGATTGGTGACAAATCCTCCCCTATTTGAACATCCAGGAACACAACAACAAGTTTTAGACATGTCGTAATCTGAGTTCTGTAGCTGTCAAACAATATTACTAAAGCGTACGGTCGACTTCCGGGACCCTAGTCGATGGCGCCATCTTCAGGGGCAGATAATCCGAGTTTGGTTCCCCATTGGGAAATAATTACAGTATGGCGGCAATAATTTTTTCTGATCATGTGGCCGCTCTTGGTTACGTTTTATTCGGGACGTTACGTTCCACTGTTTTTCCCTGTGATCTCTGCTGGTAATCTATGAACATAGACTGTATAACGTTTGTAACTGATTGCATCCTACTTTATTGTCTTGTTTATAAAACCTTATCATCCTAATATAGATGGTCCTGAGGTAAGTGTATCTAGTGTAGAAACTAATATCAAAGAAAATGAGAGTCTAAGAATAAATGGTACAGTAATATCCAATCCACCAACCAATGATATAGTATGGTATCAATCTAATGGTAATATTGTACCTAATCAATTTGTGGTTAATTCTGGAGCTAATAGAAGAGATTTAGTTATTAATGATATCAATCGTAACAAGTCAGATAATTATACTTGTACAGCAAGATTAGATCTACATCCTACAGTTGGTGATATTTTACAACAAACTCACAGTCAATCTTCTACCATTAATGTTCAATGTGAGTCAATTACCATTAACTATTATTTTTTCCATTGGACTAATGCAAATTCGTTTATATCTTAATAAAGTTCATAGCCTCATTTTCAGCGTAGTAATTCTAATCAACGTCGTTATTTATTGACGTCAATGTAGCAAATAGACGGCCTGCAATGTAAACAATCATGTTTCACACGTTGCAACGGCCCTACTTAAATTTTTACTTAATCATTAGATACATGTATTCTCATGTTTAAAAATCTCTAATATCAGTTTAATTTTCATAAAACAGGTCTTATACCATTGTTCATTTCAGATTTTGATGATATAGTAATGACTACCAACAAAACTAAACTAAAAGAGAATGATGCTGTATTTATAAGATGTACAGTTGATAGTAACCCACCAGCTTCTATCAAATTGTTTAAAGATGGTGATGTAGAATTAACCACAACAAATTCTAATATCTACCTTATATCATCAACATCCTGTTTAGATACTGGAAATTATTCCTGTTTAGCTACAAATCCTGTTTATGAAAATCAGAAAACCAAATCATCGGAACTGCTTGTTCAGTGTAAGTATATAGTTATAGTTGAGTTCGCCATTTTCGGTGGGTTACTTGGTTCTTGGATATATGTAAATAGTCGTACTAGAAATGTACGAAAATCGCATAATGCCTTCAACGAGACCCCGAAGCCAGTCACAAAAAAAATTGTCACTAGATTGTGGCTGACTTTTGCAACTAGTTGCATTGCAAAATTGCAATTTTGACTACTTGAAAAAAATGTGACTGATTTATTCAACTGCTATGCAAATAAATCAATGTACTTTTCAGATATCAACTCATTACATGCAGAACATACTAGAATGTATTTAGCTAACTGTTCAATAAAGGAACCTTTAAAGAAGATATGCATCTAATTTACGATGCAAAATGACACTAATAGTGAAATACTACATACTCCATGCATGATTAAAGCTTGACTTTTGATTCAAAATCAGTAACTGACACCTTCGCTTTAGGACCCTTATACTTAACTTTCCAGAAAGCTATGCTAAAAAAAAAATGTTTTATTATACAACATCTACCAGTTACAACGTCATCCTGCAGAATATATTTTATCGTTTCAAAGCAATGTCCAATATTTTTTATCCATTTATAACATATGCAAAATGGCGGATTTCAATTAATAGTAATTATCACAATGTTATGTTGGCCAAATTTCCTTATAATTCCATGCTTTATTCAGAATTCCAAGTGTCTGCTAGAATATATTCCAGTGAACAAAGTCACGTGACAAACTAGCGGATACCAAGTCAATAGAAAAATTCTATGGAACACAATGTGGGGCATATTGTTATGTTAGTTCAATGAATTTTAGCAATAAATTACTCTTACTCTTGAAGGAATTGTCATCAGTTATAATGAAATATTATTGAAGATATATACTAAGAAATGATAATTATACCACTGGGTATCCATACAACGTGTTTTTGTTTATAGATTAAACATTGTACACGAACATAGGTGACGCATTTTGCAGCTGTTGTCGAGTTGGTTTCTCATGAAATATGGGTAAAGGTGAGAGATATAAACAAAATTGAATCAAACCAATTTTAATCATTTTATAGAATATCTGAAGAAACATTCAAGACATAATTTTTTTTTTTAGTTTTGACAAAATTCGTTGTTGAATCCTTATCTTTACGAATATAGGTTCCACCACTGTATAATTGTAAACCATTCAATTTAATTACATGCATGTTGTTTTGTTATTTTTATGATGTTACATTGTGTATTTTACAGTGAATAAATTTCAATTTCAATTAAATTTTCGACGGCGAGTTGCAAAATCGTGACGACTATTTGCACAAATGTTTTCTACTAACGACAACTAAAATATAAAATACGACTGACGATTTTGACTAATTGTGACGACTTCAGGGCCTACCTTCAACAATATATTAAACTGGGAATTTCACTTCTATTTTTATTGTCTTTTCCATATATATCAGAGTCATTTTTTCACCTTTCAAGCGAGGATAATTCAGGACTTTGAGGCTACAGTATCGATGGGTGATCTGTGAACACTCTTAGTATTAGTTCAGCTAATAAACTTCCCGTATCTGATACTAAGGTATGGATATCGAATCTGTTCAATTCAGTTATATTTACTTTTAATTTACTTTTACTGTTTGTTTTTTTTTTTATATAGGACGTAATATTTACTGTTTGTATATTTATATAGGTTCACCATTCTTAGGGTTAGCGTGAGGTGAGAGTAGTATTCTCAAAAAGCACTGGCCTAGGTCATGAAGTCATAAACTAAAGGTTGAGATAGTTAGTGTAAACAATAGTTAAAAATGGTTACGATTAAAATTAAGAAAGTATGAAAATCTTGTTTTCCCTGTTCTGGAAATTCTAATCTAAAATGCAAAAACTAATCCAAAACAAAAACAGTGGTTTTGAACGCGGTAACAATTCTTTTGGTATAAACATGTGGGTATTTCTCTTGCAGAGCTTTAGAGTGTTTTTTCACAATAACTGACGCATTGGTCGCAGTATGATTATAAGTAGTAATGAAGGGGATTATTTGGTTCGTTCTGAAGATTTTGATATACTGTGTCCAGCTAACCCATCCAATAGCTCTCGCGCTGTAATTTTCTATGTTTTGGTTTAATTTTAAGCATAGGATCAACAGTTTCGATAGGCATAACTAACAAGTCTTCAATGGAGTGGTCGGGAAGGTTAAAATGATTCGCAATCGGTCTGTTTTTGCCATGTACGATATCGTAGCGATGACCATGAAAGCGGGTTCTCAACATATTTTTGGTTTCGCCAACATACTGGACGTAGCATTTTTTACAAGAAATTAGGAATATTAAATTTTGGTCAACGCAAGAAAGTAGATCATTCATAAGGAAATTTTTGCCGGTTATTCTTTCTCTAAAGGTTCAAAATGCGTGTTTCGGATGAAACGGATTTTTAAATAAAAGTTGGAGGGTATCGGTCTCTTTGAAATATACCTTGACATGAAGCTTCTTAGTTTTTCGCCAAAATAGGTACCTTTGTACATTGTCGTGTCCAGAAAGTTCATACTTGTTCCGGTAATACTCGCGGTTAATTTTTACTGATGTCGTCAAGAAAACCTCCATAGAAGAGAGGTTTGAAAGATGGAATTTGGTCTATTTCGCGTTCCCATTCGGCCATGAATATATTCGCATAGCTTGGGGCAAATCGTTTGCCCATAGCCGTACCAGATATTCGAACATAAGTTTTTCCGTGAAAATATAAGTCATTCCGCGTTAAACATATTTCTAAGAGATCTAAAATTTCTTTAGCGGGTCATTCTTCGCATGGATTTCTTTGAAAGGCTTTTCGGACAGCGCCCGATATTAGTATACATTGAAGTCACGTCCAATGTAATAAACATCGCATCAGGAGGGACATTTAGTTTCTTTAATTTTTCAACAAAATCTGTAGTATCTTTCACATAAGAAGGGTATTGACGTGCCAATAATAAAAAAATAGTCAATGTATTCAGAAACTCTGTATGATTTGCTCCCTCTGTCTGAAATTATCGGTCTTCCTTTTGAAACCTTGTTTGGGATAAACCATCCATTTCG